CATTAGTAGTCGTAAATCCAAAATTGGGTGGGCTGTTCAATGAAGATTATGAAATATTAAAAAAAAAAAAAAATAAACGTAACAGATTATGAATTGTTGAATAAATAAATATGAAAAAAGAAAAAAAAATTAACGATGATTTATTATTATTTATATAATCTTATTATAAGCACAGTGGAATAACTTTTGATCGAATGATCAGATCTATTATAGGATTCAATCTTAATTGTTTAAAGTGGTGGCAATGAATTTCTTTTTATAAATGAATTTCAATCCTAAAAATATTTCAATATTAACATTACCAAAAATAAATGACCCTATAAAGATTGTTTATATAAAAACACTCCACAAAAAAAAATTCGATTCATTTTAAAACTTCGATCTCGTCTGAAACATTTTTCGTGTTCCGATTTCCAAGACAAGTTTAGACTTCCGCCTTCGATTAACCTTGAATATGGAATTCTGGGTCATTCTCCTGACTGAACAAAATAAAACTCTTTCGTTAAAGTAAAGCGTCAGGACTCCCAAACCAGTTGAGATCTAACTGATTTCATTTCTTTCTTTCTTTAAATATATATTTCTTCAAAAAATGAGAATTAAAAGAATAAGAAAGCTTCGAAGACCAACAAAGACAAATGATTCATGTTAACAGAATGAATACAAAAACGTTCTTATGCGTATTTAGGTCACGGGTTCGTGTAACAAGATTTAACCTAGATATTTATTTGTAGAAACAAAATTTATTTAGTTCAAGCACCGAAACAAGATACAGTCGAACCCCGCTACAGTGAACACGGTTTATAGCGAACTCCCGGATATAGTGAACGAAATGTTCGCTCACGTTGCCTTGTTACACACGTATAATGTTATTTTTTTGTGTGGATATAGTCAGGGGTCTGTCCAGCGACATTTTGTGAAAGGTCCGTTTTCGTAAAATTGTGAAAAAATGACTCGTCATTTGTGAATATGAAATAAACGTTAAGTCACATTCTTTCAACCAGGGTCCTGCTTTTGTGAATGTGTGCAAATAGGGTCCTGTTATTGCAAAAAACTTTTCCAATGAGTTTTTAAATTGTAAAGAGATACAAGATTATGCTCAACACTGTAAAATTATAATTAAAAAAATTAAATCTTAAAAAATAAACAGCAATTGCAGCTACTGAATTAGAGATGCAACATACAAATATTTGGTATTTAACCGCCTATACTGCTGAACGCAGAAATTCATTTTCGGAGAATAAAGGAAGAATCGTCTGCCGAAGACAAAATTTAGTTCGTTTACATCTGTCTTTCTTCCCCACTCCCCTGGGAAGGGTTTAAACAAAACAACAATGAAGATAAACAAATTTGTGAAGGGTCGGATTAAAAGATGAATTATTTTGTGAAGGGTCCGTTTTTATGAAAAGATATTTTGTGAAGGGTCCACTAACGGACCCAAATTTCTTCTATACAGATAGTGAACAAAAAAAAGAGAGGAATTTGGATAGTATGAACTTTTTTCTGTCCTTGACTGATTTATTTTCTTCCTTTTTTAAAAAAATAATTTTGAAATTTCTACTTCAAAATAAATACATACATATACCGATTTTTAAAACCATATGTAGCAGGGAATGTGGCAATAAGTATTTTTTCTTGTTTGCTTTCCTTATTGAATGGATTCAGCATTCAGTATCTAGACAAATGCTTCACAGGCCGATGAATTTGCTAAGCGATTTGGTGAGACTACTTTTATGTGTGCGAATGGCTAATTAGACAAGTTTAAAAAGCGGAATAACATTAATTCGGGAAAAATTATCGGAGAGTCTGGAAGTGTTTCCATATCTGATGTGGAGGATTGCTCATCAGCTAAAGATTACTAAAAATTTTTATAGTTATAGTGAACCGAAATTGTGGTCCCTTGAAGGTTTGACTACATTATATAATTTCTGGAAGTATCAGAGGCATAGCGAGAAATTTTTCTTAGGCGGTGGGCACAATGTACAGGGGTGCATATCTATATTTTTTTAAAAATAAAATGTATGAGCTGCGTATAAAATATAAGATTTAGAATTTTAAAATTACATTTGTGAGTAGAAAAAAGTACAGGGAGTCTGACGGAATGAAAAAAAAATCGATAACCAGTTCGAGAATTATTAATTGTAGCACAACATCACCTTTGGTTGATTTGTAGCTCGCTGAAATGCAACTACGAAATCGAAATTTGACACGCAAAAGGACATCGTTATTTGTGTATTTAATTTTTCGAAATACTTATTTGTTCAAAAGTTACTTCAAATTTTGCTTTTCACGTGAATTATTTTTTTCAACAATTTTTTTTTTCTTTTTTTAACTATTTTTGACTATCTTTTGTTTTTGAATAAATATATTTTCCCCCTATGGATGGTGTTTTCTACATTAGAGAACGCTGCAAGCTCGGTACCGCCTAAATTTCCGGGTTACTGTTTCCGTTGTATTTTAATGCCATTTGTCATAATTGCGTTTTGAGATTCTTGCAAACAATGTATTTGATTACTTATTACTTGTGTTTACAATGATAACAATACTAACGTAAGATGGTGCACAGCTTGCAACGAGAACAAACAGTAATAAACTTATGGAAAGAGGCCATATCAAGACTGACAAAAAAGCGAGTTATTCAAAATCTAGCAACCATATCACCTTTTTTAACAATTTATCTCTAAATAACTAAAACAAATTTTCACTTCAAACTCACCAGAATTACATAATAGCATCAATATCTTATGAAAAACGGCAGATTTGAGATCAGAAATTATCTAATTTATTCCTTTTATTGAAAACAAAATTATCCGTTTGAAAATATTGCTTCGCAGAATAACATGCAGTAAGCAGCTGCAAGCTTTCTAACCGGAACTAGAGCAGGCATACAGCTCGAGATTGTTACTGTTTACATTTCTACTGGAAACACCATCCATAGGAAATTTGTATTTCCAAACGAGGCTCGGGCCCTTTAGTTAATTGGGAAGCGATCGAAATTTCAAGTACACGATTCCACCCTAACATACACGAAAGCTACATAGTTTATAATAAAAACGTGGTAATAAAATGTATGTTAGATTCTTATCTATACATCATCAATAATTACATTTTTGTAAATCATAATTTCAAAAGTATCGCTTCCTTTTTTCATACACAGGGTGATTCATAAAATATGGGCAAAATTTTAGGAAGTGATAGTACACACCCAAGTAAAAATTTTTTTATCAAAGAATGCATGGTCGAAAACAAAATGCAAAGGAGTTGGCGCATTTGGAAAGTTGTTTCATGCAAACGAGAAAGCCCCATTCTTGTTGCGAGTTATTATTTGCATGTTATGGGAAGAAGAGCCCTTAGCTTGGCCACCGCGCTGGCCAGATCTTTCACGTCTCGATTGTTTCTGTGGGGCCAGCTGAAGGCTCTTATGTATAAGACTCCCATTCCCCTCCAGAAGAACTTGTCTCCAAGCTTTCGGCCTCTGCAGGGGAAGTTCGAGATATGCCTGGTGTGTTTCAGAATGTTTGCCAATCTTTTCTTTGCCGTTGTACTGCGTGCTTATCCGCTGCCAGCCACTGTTTTGAACGCTTATTGTAATCGCATGCCATTAAATTTGCTTTTATAACTCAACTTCATCGTTCTTTGTGTGTTTTTGCCTCATATAAGAACATAACTTTTGACTTCCTCTAACGGGTTTGGGTTTTGTTTTCGACCATGCATTCTTTGATAAAAATTGCTTGATTGGGTGGAATGTACTATCACTTCCAAAAATTTTGCCCATCTTTTATGAATCACCCTGTATAATTGTGTTTTTTTAAATGTTGTAAATTCACCAAGAAAAAAAAAGTTCTATGATTATGATCATTCAGTCATTTTTACTAAGACATACCTCTTATTTCAGGTTTTCTAACGTGGTCTAAAAGAGCTGTCTGTCAATATGGCTGCAAGACCAACACCTTCGTCGACATGGCTCTTTATTATAATTTCATCTGGCTAGTCATACTTCGTCCCTTGGCCATCCTTCACGCCCTCTACATGCAAAGCGGAGAATGGGGCAATGCTTTCTACATGGACTTCGGCAGCCATCTTGTTTTAGCATTCTCGGCCGTCTTCAGTCCTTTCTCAGTTGGAAATCCCGCACCGAACAGACTCACGGAAACAATAAACCCCATCATTATGCAAAACAAGCACAAAGACGCTGGGACCGTCACTTCAGTGCCCGACATCTGCTCGCAAAGTCCGCGCGCGCATGTAACACCGAGTTACTCACCAGTTAGGATAAAGAGAGTTGAAAGCTACGAAAACATTAGTAATATAAATATCATGGCAAACGATTGTTCTGTGGCGCTAGCGGACAAAGAAAAACCTGGAGAGGAGAGTGTCTGTTAAGTCATTCAAGTGCTTTAGTCTTTTTTTTTTCAACAAATTTATAGCTTTAAACAGCGGTTCCCAATTTCTTTTGGCTAGGGAGCCCTAAATGATTGACTTTATTTTAACGGAACCCCGAAATTTACAAGAAATTTCGTTAGCAAATGTGAAAAAAATATTATTTAACTAAATACCATTATTTATTTTGAAAATATTTGACAAATTCAAATTTTATTAATTATTCTGAAAATACTTAATGAATGAAAGCAGAGTAAAATTTTTTCATCGTTTAGTTTTAACAATTATAGTTTTATAATTGGATTTTTTATGTCAGGCATTTGAATTTACGGGCCTAAAGTGGCATCTAGTCTAGTTCATAATTTGATTTCATGGTATGCACAACCTGGAAATGATTGAGCCTAAATTCGGTCCACATTTAAATAAAAATAAATAAACATAAACGTTGAGAAAAGTTTGTGGCGTAACTACCACTACAAATATTAAATACCAAATCACTAGTATATAAGAAATGTTAACTTCATTTTACCTTGAAGTACCTCCTGATAGATGAAGGTTGACATGACATAGTCGATTATGATCTCCCCTCAATGGTGACTTGCAGACGTGATATGGACTTGCCAACATTGATGGATGATTCACATTAAATGGCTGATTTGCTTGAAAATATACTTCTCAAAGAAAAAAAAAGCCAGTTAAGTAAATTAAGTTTCCCGAAATATTGAAGAAAAAAAAAATAATGAGCGAAATGATAAAAATACACAGCATAAATCAACTAGTGTTATCCGTTCATCGAATTCTATCATAGAAAAAATTCTGGAAGGGGAGTAATGTGGTGTAACTACCACTATAAATATTAAATGCAAAATCACTAGTATATAAAAGATGTTGACTTGATTCCATCTTGAAGTACCTTTTGATATATGAAGGTTGACATAGTCGATATTAAATCTCTTAGAGTTATCATATCAATGTTAAATAACTTATGAAAACTTAATTGGTTGTAAATATTATTGCAGGGTTTCGTAACTGATACTGTTGTCCTATCGGAATCCAAGGGTTCCACGGAACAACATTTGGGAATCGCTACTTAAACTATTATAAAGCTCCTAAAAAGTTGGAGAATGTGCATGTATTAATAAACACATACTTTATTAGGACATGTTCTACTCAACACATGCCCGACTCGAAATATATCTCGTGAAGATGTGTACATTTCTCTATATTGAAACCAAATCAAATAAAACTGTGTTTTATCTCAAAGTGGTGCAAATACTCAAAATGAAAAGAAGAAAAATTTTCTTGCAGATTTAAACCTCAACGTTAGCAGATTATCTCCAACAAGATGTCCTGCATCAGTTTTTAAAATACTATTTGAATTCATTGAACCTCAAATAGTATCAGGAATGACTGGACAAAAAGAATATGAAACAAAAAATAAAACGGAGGGCACGAATGCCAATTTTGCAACAAGTATATAAATTTATCTTTGGAGCAAAACTAGGAATAGACTGGAAGAAGTTTGGAATAAATTTCTGTTCAAAAAACTAACGAGCTAAAAATATTGATATCCGTGATATCGTTTTCACTCTACTACTACAAGGATATGATAGAATGTTTTGCATGTGATGTGAAAGAGCGATTGTTGCCATTGCGATAATAGAAATATGATATCGCATTTTTTAAAAATGGGATTTAAAAAGAAGACAAACTAAAAAAAAGACTCATTTGACTTCGGCAATCGCATTTTTGGTTGCCAACAAAATGATATTGCTTTTTTTTTTTTGTACAAGGTGCTGAAGAAGGGGCGAACTAGATGATCTTAATATAAATGAAACAATAACTAAATCAACGTGAATGGAGTGATTTTTCTTTTTTCCCCACGTGAAATTGAAAGAAGCCAACTGTGATCGAGAATACTCAGTTACGATAGATTTATCTACATAAGTTATATCGGTGCTGGAAAGAATATTGTAGTGGTAAAATAGTATTATAATTCAGCAAATATAAACACAATTATATTGGTAACATGTTTTTTTTCCTCTTTCTTTTTTTAAAAAAAAACTACACAAATCACTTCATTTCTCAGCATGAAAATAGGACCCCCTGAATCTGTTTATGACCACACATCCGCCCTCCTTCCCCATCCACTGTAGTAACTCAAATTAGGAAGAAAAAAAATTCCCTGTACATATTACACACAATATATTAAGAGGACACAACAATTACTGTGCTCTTGTGTGAGCTATATTGGATTATTATTAGTTTTAATTGTTGAAAAAACTTAAGCGAAAAAAGGAACAGCTGAACATACTTAAATAATGCTATGTATAGTAAATGAAATAGTTTAGTATAGTTAGAATATCATCCTTAAATATCCGATAGATTACACTAGGAGTGATCACAATTTTTTAAAAGATGAAAGTAAGAAACAAAATTTCTTGTATTTTTTCAGTTTTTAAAGAAAAAATATCAAAATTCCCTGTGTTTTCCAGGTTTTTCCTGTCGAGTGGCAACCCTGTCATCATAGGTGCCACTTAAAAAAAGTTCAAGACTGAACTTACATTTTAACTAATTAACCCAGTCTAGCGTTGATCAACAGAATTTTCAAAAATTTTTTTGCTTAATGATTGCAAAAGACACATTTCCATGAGAATGGCCATACATTACATCAATGACTTTTTCGTTTTTTTTTTTTTTACAGCAATTAAAACAAAAATAAAAGCTACATCATATCTTTATCATATCTTTTTAACCCCATTTGCTGAATAATAAACAACTATTTTTTTTTCTTTCTAGAAGTATTTTTTTTCTTCCACCATTTTTTATTTTTTTCCCATTTACATGTCTACTGGTTTTTCACCTCATTGTCATCAATTTTTATTCTTAGCTCTCTCTCTCTATATATATATATTTGAAATGATATCAATTTACGCATTTTATTTCGTTTTTCTAAGCATTTCTAAGTATCAGCAAAAGAAAAAAAAAAAAAAAACTCCAGCAGATTCGCATTAAATAAGAGAATATGCTGAAGTTCCATCATTCCCCCTTTTTTTCACCATTATTTCGTAATATTTACGAAAAATAATATTTTCCTTAACAAGTAATAATTTTTTTAATATTGTTAGCCAAATATATATATATTTTTTAGTAATTCAAAACATAAAATGAAAAAAAGATTAATTGTAGCAAGGAATTTAGCTCACTTGTTTTCTCAAGACTGATTTCAGTCCTCAGGACTGAAGAGTGCCCCCCCCCCCTACGTATGGGGAATCGTCATTCAGAATAATGAATAAAGACGAATAAATAATTACACAAAATCTTCTTGAATAATGAAGAAATAGTACATAATTTTTAGTCTTTATTCTTTAGTAATTAGTTGAGAATAAATTCAAAATGATAAAAATCTTGAAATACTGTTCAACAGAAATTTACGCAGAACTGACGACTACTGTAATTAACAACAAATAACAATGACATAGTAATAAATTTCTTGTAATCGTGATTACAAGTAGTCACAATTACAAGCAACTATAACTTCTGTAAAAAAAAAAAAAGGAGGCTTACAACTACTTGTAATCAGAACAAGAAGCCATTGCATATAGTTATCATTACAAATAATCATATTCTTTGATTACCAGTCATCGTGTCTATATACAGTAGGGAACCGATTATCCGGAACGATCGGGACCATCACTATTCCGGATAACTGATTTTTCCGGTTTTCAATCGCTACAAAAAACCGTTTCTTTATTGTTAAACCCAACTAAAAAAAAAATTTTTTTTTGGAAATAATCTAAAAAACGATGAAGTAATACACTAATGATTATTTACAAAATGATGGTTAGGTGAACGTCTTTCAAAAAAGAAAGAAAAATCCTAAAATCTTATGAGGAAAATAACATTNGCAGAACTGACGACTACTGTAATTAACAACAAATAACAATGACATAGTAATAAATTTCTTGTAATCGTGATTACAAGAAGTCACAATTACAAGCAACTATAACTTCTGTAAAAAAAAAAGAGGCTTACAACTACTTGTAATCAGAACAAGAAGCAATTGCATATAATTATCATTACAAATAATCATATTCTTTGATTACCAGTCATCGTGTCTATATATAATTATAACATACGATTCCAAGTAATCATGATTGCCAGTCACCGTAATCTAACCATTACAAGTAATCAACAAATAATTATAGTAATTACAGCATGCTTAAATGCAAATGCTCTCAATTACATTGCAATCAGAACTGTAAAAAATTAATTACTTTTTAACTCAAATTGAGACTCTAAATGAATTTGTTTGTATGGTTTACAAAATGAGAAATTTTAATCATTGTAAATAGATGCATGCATTGTATGTACAGCGCTCAAAATAAAAAACGAACTACAGTGAATAACTTTTGATCGGATCATCACGTTTTAGGACTCAACCTTAAAGGTTTCAGGACTCAACCTCACATATTCTAGTTCATTAGTATGGACGATATTTTAAGTTACAAAAACGTACTTTCTCTGAATAAGCATATCTTTTTTACAATGGATTCGAATTTCTAACTCACAAAATAGCTGCAAATTGGGAAATATAGTCCCCAAAGTTTGGTCAAGAGAGCGGTCAAAGTTTGGACCCCTTAATGTTAATTTTATTTTTTGAGTATTTTCCTACATCTCGAGAACTTTTTTGGCAAATTGTAAAAATTTTACACGTAATTATAAAATTTATCTATCCAAAGGTAATTTCATAAGAAATATAACTTTTAGTAAATATTTATTATTTTACTCAATAACAGTCAGAAAACTTTTGAATTGCAAGATATAATTTTTTTTACACCATTTTAAAGGATGAAATTTTACATGGCAAAATTTAAAATTTGAGCAAAGTCGGTCGAATAGTTCCTGAGAAATCAAATTTTAAATATATGGCTTCTTTAAAATTTGATTTCACAGAAACTATTCAATCAAATTTGCTCAAATTTTGTATTTTGCCATATTCGATTTTAAAAAGTTTCATAACTTGTAATTCAATTTTTTTCAAACATTATTAGATTAAATAATAAATATTTACTCAAAGTTATATTTTTCGTGGAAATATCTTTAGATAAACAAATTTTATAATTGTGTGCAAAAATGTTTCGATTAGCTTAAAAAGTTCTAATTAACATTAAGGGGTCCAAACTTTGGGTCTTTCTCCAGACCAAACTATGGGGATCATATGTCCCAAATTGCGACTACCCCCCTTTATTTTGAAGAATTTCAGAATTTTGATTTCAGAAATTCTGAAATTTTGAAGAATTTCAGAATTTCGACTCCGTTGAAAAAGGGGTTTGTTTATTCAGAGGAAAAACGTTTTTGTGTCTGATATTATAATTTTGAATGTTAATGAGCATTTACAAGGTATCTGCTACATTTTAGATTTTCAAATTCATGACTAATTCCTAGAATTTTTCATGACTTAACGAAGTTACTATTATCTCCGACAAAAACACAACAAGAAATTTAAAAAAGCATTATAAAAACATAGATTGAAATGATAGGTTTAACCAAAACTGTTATACTCTGCATTTTCATATTTAAAGATTTTAAATTGAAAAAAAAAAAAAAAAAACAGTAATAAAATAGCTGAAAAACAAATACAAAAACAAACAATTTTTTTCTGCCGATTTATATTCTAAAGATACTTCCCTTGTTCATCTGAAAGGAAAGAAATACTCCTGATTTCTACGTTTTCATTTCGGAAAAAAAAATTCGACAATGACTGGCTTTCTTCAGCTAAAATCTTAAATTGATAATAAATAAATAATAATAATAACAAAAATTCTGAAATCACAGAAGTTTAAAAGATAATTCGCTCTAGAAATGTTTTTTCTTTCATTTTTTGAAAGAAAACACCATAATTTTTAAAGAACATGAAAAAAAAAACATTTTATATTTTAATAAAATATGACTGTGAGTGGGGTTTTGGTTACAAATTCAGATATTCGGAGCACTGTGAAATTTGGGGGGAGGGATAAATTCCTCTTTAAAAATTAGATTTTTTGGTGAGCTAAATCCATGATTCTTTTTAAAAAATAGTTAAAATCATGACAAATTTTGTTCGATACCGAAATCCATGACTTTCCTTCTTTATGAATTTTCATCAAAATAAGATTAAATTATATTAAAATCATGACAAATTTAATAATTCCTCTAGTTAAAAAATTTGGATATTTTATTCTAATAATTATTTCATTAAATCTGTTACATTTTTTATTTGTCAGTAAAAAATGAATTAAAAATCTTAAACACATGAATGTGTTAGTACATTCATCATTTTATGAGCTTTTGAAAAAAGATGCAACTAAATGCAATTTTTCCAAATTTAATTATTTTTGCAATTTACTGTTCTTTTTCAACAATGGTAAATTATGTTTTATGCAATTACAGTTTCTGCAAAAATAAGTAAATTCCAAATCTCTTTTTTTTAATTAATTGCGAAAAAAAAAAACACTTTCCTTACCATCTTTGATTTTAGGTTTAATTTTGATTAGCAATTTTTAGATATTTTTGATGTACAGAACTAAACTTTTCAGAAAAGATTGAAAATAAAGGAGACACTTTGTTAGATTAGGAGAAATAGTGCTTGATAATTTTTAGAATTTCTATAGATTTTTCTTAAAAATATTAAGCAATAAAATTATGTAATTCGTGGTTTAAAATAAAACGTCAGTCTGTTTTTAAATCTTAATTCTATTACAGTTAAATTGATTTGGATGGCACTAAAAATTCTTTTTTATGTAAAATAAATCATGCAAAAACAAAGATAGTTATCAACAATCTAAAAATGTATAATAAAATACCTTCCGTAAAATGCTGATTCCAGATTTGTTAGTAAACATAGTTAACTAATTCCTTACAAGAGCATTCAAAATAATGATTTGTTCAGAATAAAAATAAAAAAGATTACCTCAAAAACTTAACTATGGGCTGGTTGCAATGAAAANTGCAATTTTTAAACTTGTAAACCATGTGATTATAAATCC